AAAAAACACCACCAAAAACAAATGCCTGAACATGGCAGTGAGGACTTTAATGCTTTCTTATTGGCAGAAGCTCTTTATTCTCCTTCATCTGCTTTATGGTCTCTGAGGTTGCTTTGTCGGCCTCGACAGCTTCCTTGCATTGTTTTGCAATGTCAGAAAGCTTGCTCCCCTTCACCTGTTGAACAAGCTGCGCATACTTTTCTGGAGCAGCAATTGCCAACTTGGCAATTTCAGAAGTTTGTGAAATTGTGTTGCAATCCACTCCAAACTTGCTGAATGCCTCAGCCATTGTCTTGCCCATTTGGAAGATGCCCAGCACTGTCTTATATCGATGCACCACCTCTGATGGTTCGCTAACTAAAAACAAACAAATAACCAAACAAAAAAAAAACTGAATGAGAATAAATTCATTGGAATAATGTATGGTAGACACATATCAGCTTAAATGAAGAGCCTGGGAAGTGACAACTCTAGGTTTTGGTACTGAGGTCCAGTTTCAAACCATCTGGAACCAATATGATCAATACTGATGGGGGCTTGTACATCCAAAATACAAGCTTCTCTACAAGATTCCCCACATCATTGTCCTGACACTAACTCATTCACTTTAAGCATTATTTAATCCAAATATATATACTGTATAAGAGGTCTCCTAATTTGTAATGCTTAAGATTACTGGGTTACTGTAGGTGGCAAGTGACAGTAGGTGCTGGTACAAAAATAAATGGTGATTAAACAAGCTAACAGTATGTGGAGGTCATTTGTACACAACTTTTAAAATTTTAAAAACACATACTGCAGGAAGACAGATGCAAGTCAACGTCCAGATGCTATCACTTGTTTTAGATTTAGAGGTTCTGTCAAACATATAGCCCACCTACAACCATTATGTTCTGTCAGTGTTGAATCTCAATGTTGGCAATCTCTGACAGTGTTACCTCTCTCTCTTTTACACCACATCCTAGGAAATTCCTAATGGCTCACTTGTTTTTCCTCACTGCTCCTTATGAATTCCAAAAATGGGAGAAGCTCCCTTTTAAAGTTAATGGACATGTATCTGACACTGCAAAACACAGATAATGATGTGTAAGGCATAACAAAATGGGTTCAGTATCTGGAGCTTCACTCACCATCAGAAAGTTGAGTCCTAAGGAAGTCTCTGTCCTTTGTCAAAGCTTCTACCTTCTCCTCCAGGTTCTCTACCCTCAACTTGTACATGTTCATTTCTGATTTGGCTTCAAGAAATTCTGCTTTAGCAAAAGCCACAGTCACTGTTGGGGCCACTGCAATCTGATCACCTACAATAACACAAAACGTATGTAGAATAATGATCAGATAATTCATTAATAACAGCCAACACTCACCTCCATCATTAAAAAACATTTGTTTATATACACAATAATGGCAAAGGCACAGTAGCATTCAAAGCATTCAATAATGAATCAGAGAATATGGAAGAAGAAGAATTAATAACAAAAATAATTATTAGGATACAAAAATGATAGCCTACAGTAAGTGTTTATTTTTTGTGTAATTGATGCTTCATTCATAAGTGCCTCTTTAGCGTTCTTGACATTGTTGGCATTAAAACCTTCACCTGCAGATGCACTGAAGGCTAACAATAATAATTATCAACTGGGAGAGAATGCTTGCTACCACTACTTCTGAATACTTAAACACGTTTTATCACAATGAAACTCGGCCTGGATTTAGAAGTTACCTATATGGCTTATGTTAGCTGTAGCTAGCTAGCGGGCATGGCTAATAATGAAACGATTCACCATTAAGATGGCTAGTTAGATAACGGTAAACGCTAAACTTGCCCTCTTTTGTGGCAGATTTGTCTGCTGACTCTGCATTTCTCTTCCGCATCGTTCGCCTTGTTTGAATTGGAGAGTTTTTAGATTTTGCGTCCATCTTGCTACGTTTGGGTGCTACCTAGTTAGCTACACATTAGGTCTTCTCAGACGTCTTCTTCCGTGGCTGTGCCTGAAAATGCATTGCGCGAGTTGATGCTGCGCGCGAAAAGACTCCTTGTCAGTTACAGATATAAGCAAACACTCCAACAGGAAATAAAATTTGGTTCAATTAAAATGTTAGTGTTAGAAGAGGGTATTGTTTTCACTTCTGTTCAGACATTAGTTGTTGCGTGTGCTAGCCTCAGGAGTGCTTGTGAAGAGAGACACTGATACTGGCCTTCTGCAAAGAAATAGGAGGGGTGGTGCAGCCTGACCCCAGTCAACTGGAGAGGTAAGACACTGTCCATCCTACCTCCTCCCTCTCCTTACTAAATGACCAGAAGTCTTATGAAATAATAGCAATTTCAGTTTAATTCACCAAATTTTCATTGTTTATCTACAGGTTTCATGGTTGAGAAAGTTAGAAGAAAGCTGGTCTCCCTCTTCCAAGGGAAACCAACCAAAAAGAGAACCTTGAAGTTAATAAAATGGCTCCAAAAGAAACATTTGCTAAAAAAAAAGTGACGTGTGCAAGGTGTCATGGTTAAATGAAGCTGAGACCTGCCAATAAGGCCGACCACTTTGAATGGTTAGTACTTCCCTTTTTTATTATGCAAAAGAATAGCTGTAAAGAGAATTCTCAGCTTTATACATCTGACTGGTGCTGCAGGTGCTTTGCTTTTTCTGTGGTCATGCTTACTTTTTGTGTAAAATAGAGACCTCATGCCCAGATCACAACTGTATTTCTTATGTATAAAAGCTGTCAGCAGAATGCTGCAATTGTTGAAATGTTTGTTTTGTTAGTGCATCAAGTTATGTAATGCAAATACTTTCTAACACTGGCCACCATTGAGTAGTCATGGTATTGTGAAACTTGTGTTGGATCTGTTTCCATTAAGTCTTCCCCTATGGTATTCCCCCATTCAGCTAAAGGATATTTCCCTATGTGGATATTTAATATTTCACTTATGAATGTAAGGATGACCTATAATAGATAATGACTATTTCTGGGACTTGATAGCCTTTGGCATGATTTATATCAGT